GTTATAAATTAAAAAAAACACAGATGCATTGCGATGACGCTTCCAAACAATGTTGTAAAGGTATGTGTATATTCAATTAAATGATTAGATATCATCTCAATCAAACCTTTTCTTTCATTTTTTCTTTAAACCGTTTTCTTATTCACAATGCTTGTCTGAAAAATTTCCCCACTGTTGCTTGCCAGTAATTGATGTTTAAAACCTAATCAAGACAGATAAAAGAATGCTCATTAAAATTTCGCAACAAACCAATTTACAGGTGCTATCGTTGGGGGCCGACGTCTTGCCGGAATACAAGTTACAACCAACAAGGTATTATGAGTGAATTTTGCTTGAATGTAGATATGATCCTGATAGAGCAAGAAAATACAGAGGGTGTAACAGTGACATTGGCATATCTTTCAATTTCGAGCAAACAGTTTACCTACGAAACACATTCCCAGTGGTAATTTACATGTTACCGGTTCGGTTTCCGCCTGCGGAAATAAGTTCCGCTTGAAATTTATAAATGTCATTAAGATTATTGTGTGTGATCCAAACCATTGTTTGGCTGGCGCTCATCTGTTTATTTACTCATGTAACGAATAGATTTTGAAAGCTACTTCATCGATTTGTTCCTGTCGATGTAACCATATAATGAGCGAATGTAGATTGAAAGTTGATTAATAATCGATGATTTCTGATTCGTTTAAGGATCCATCACTGTACGATCGTTCATTATTCGCCATTTAAAGCAGTATGGGATTGGATTATACTGCTCTTGGTCATCTATACTGCCATTTTTACGCCTTATGTTGCCGCCTTTTTGCTCCGAGAGGTTCTTCAATTTGAATTTTTGATCCCTCTTCAATATGAGCATTTCAAGAAAATGAATAATGCACTGTTGTTCACAATCTTCCACGCATTTATACGTGAATAAAACATTGTCTTAAGTTGTTTCTATGAAAATTCAACAAGAATATGCCAAATGATTAGAGCTGAATACACAACACAACACAAGTAACCGACACGCAATTGACCGTGAGCAATCATCTTTAATGTTTTGTGTTGGATGCTGGACAATTGATTCGTAATAGATGAGAGCACTTCGAATTGAATCCAGAACATCAAGATTTACGATCGAAATCATAGTAACATCATGATCTCGTCGTATGAAAACTGCTCTGAAATTTTTGAATCCTAAACCTTTCTCAAAACCTGCATAGCGCTCAATTTATTGGTAGGACACCTCAAGAAATCAATTCATGTATACGAAGTATATACATTCGCAGATAATATTTTCCTCTGGTATGAACAATTCTAGTGCATTCTCTGATGGGACTGTTCATATATAGAGGGATATTGTGCAGCTTTCTGATCAAGCCTTCTACTGAGTAGCTCTCCTGGCTCCATGCCTCCTTAATTCTACAATTAATTTTTAAAATGGAACACATTTAAAGGATAGCACTCGAAAAACTCGCTTCTCGGAACCATTGGAGATTATTGATTTATTTGTCGATATAATGTTCATTGTGGATATTATCATAAACTTCAGGACAACCTATGTGAATGAGAATGATGAGGTTCGTGTCTCTTAAACAACTTTTCATTCTCTTTAACGTACCGAGCATCATTGTTTATGACAGTTCGCATAAATTATCATCCATACTCATCGTTCTCGAATTGGATCAGCTTTGAAAAGTGCCCTGGTAGTTTTATTCTCGCAGTGTTGGTAACAGCAACAAAATTCACTGATTTGCCTTTATCATTAACATTCTTTCATTAGGGCTGCAATTCTTCAAGGCAATCAATCCTAATTAGCACCATAAAAAAGCTTTTCAGGTTGTCTCTCATCCAGGAAAAATTGCCATTCACTATTTTAAAGGTTGGTTTATCATCGATATGATTGCCGCAGTACCATTCGATTTATTACTCGTCAATACAAACAGTGATGAGGTGAGCGTTAATTGCTAAATCTAGAAACGCTTTATGCTCCTAATAGACGCTGCATTCTATCGTTGAACGACACCAAACTGATTTTAACTTTTCGTTTGCATTGATCGAAAAGTTTCGTTGTGATATAATGCACGATCAGAGATGATCTGTCAGATATTACGGATAAATTTTATGATTATGTGCAGTAGTAGCTTGCTGAGATACTTGAACCATCAAAGACCTATTTATTGACAATTATCGTGATTACTGATTGTTATTTTTATGATTATTGTTATCATCAGTTATTATCGTTAACTGATCATGGTCCTTTGAGTTGAGCGTTTTACCCAACACTATTTATGCATTATAAGCAAAATGAATGAAAAGTTCATAAGTTGCGCATAAAATTATCGGAATAAAAAATTGAAGGAAACAGTTGGAAGTCTAAACAAAGACGAGGTAAAGCAATTGCTTTTGGCTGCTAAAATTATTTCATTTTTATTTCGTATGCGAACGCATGCTTTCATCTCGTTATTCCTATTATTATTGTTATTATCATTATTCTTATTATTATCATTATTTTTATTATTATCATTGTTATTATTATCATTTATTATTATTATTATTATCATTTATTATTGATATATGATGATTATTTGTTACTAACATTATAATCTAACTACTTGGCTTATAGTTCGTACTTATCAGTGTATTATCGTAATGCTTATTATATCAGCTATTTTCATTACGTTACTGTCAACGATTCTAAAAATAATTCTAATATTGTCATTACTACTGTTGCCTTTTGTTTGTTGCTTCTGTTATTTCTTCTTTCTTTTGCTGACCGTTGCGTTATGGAACGATTTTCTAGCTAATCGCAAAAGAAATTTCATCACTGATCGAACCATATAAAAAATCCTTGTCAACAGTTAACCTCAGCGCTATTAACAGTAACTCAGTGTTGCATTGTAGAAATGGAGGTAGTAATCATGTTTGCGTGACCGACATCCATGTGAGCGTTTGAAATTGTCAAAATTGAAGCCAGTAGAAACTGGCAGCAATCATTCTGAAATGAGGCAATAATCAATCATTGACACTGAAGTTTGCTGAAGTTCGATTCAGATAAGATAAGATCGAACAGTAATCTGAATGTAAAAGAGTAGAATGCATGACGATTCCCGCAATTATTCCTTCATCATCCCATTTCTAATGCAACTCATTTCCGTTCAAATCTGTCTTCAAGAATCCTGAATCGCTTCACGATTCAATCACATATCATAGAAGTTGACCATCTGATCTATTGCTATGACCACTTCACAAAAAGCAGCACTAATCGAGCTCACATTCGCTAACACTATAGTCACATCTTCAACAGTGAACGATAAATATTTTCAACCTCTATACGTAGTGAACAGACATAAACATTTTCGGATAGCATCAGTGAACTTCAGAATGAAATTGCTTCAAGATTTCAATATGAGGAAGATATTTCAAACTTTTTAAGAAACTGCGCTCCTGAGATCCTTGCTCGGTAAATTTGTTCGCTGTGAAATTATGATTCTTCTGTTCCTTTGTTTCAAATATTTGAGTGGTGTGTGTTATTCGTATGCGTGTGTGTTTGTATGCCTGATGTAGTATGTGTTATCATTTCCTCTGATATGCAGGTAATATTAATCCTGAAGTACAGTTCATCATCGTAAGTAGACTCCAGAACGAATATCACTATATCATCGAAATTAACCTTTGTGTGCAATGTTCACAAGTGGATCTCACTTCATCAACCATCCGCAATCTTATGCATGTGCACCCAGGAGTGCTCAATCACGTTCCTTTGACAGAACACTGTTTAAGAGCAATTTTTGATAGAACCCGATTTCTGTGGAGATAACTGAGCAGTAGTTGAAGCTTACTGAACCGATATTGAACTGATCAGTAATGTCGTTACATCCTGCATACGAACCTGCACACACGTATAATCACATAACAACCAATCGAACAGTTTCATGTGCACGCATTGATGGATTGACTGAAATACACGAACACAACACACCAGTGTTGATTATCCGTTTTGTTATGGTGTGATGTATTCTGTATGATAATAACAAGTTAGTTGTCGGTATGACATCAAATAATATGAAACACTGACAACTGTTGTTGTTCATTTCGTTGAAGTGCGATGGTTTTTAGACAACAACGCTGATTGGTCTGTTAAAGACGGCACGCTTGTTGCGATTGGTACGAGTGGCAAGGAAGTTGGACAGGTATTCGGAGTACGGTGCTGCGGTGCTAGTTTTACTTATGGCTGTTTTTGCCTTAATAGCACATTGGCTGGGATGTCTTTGGTACGCTATTGGTAGTATGGAATTACCACATAAAGAATTCACTTGGTTGCATCAACTTGGTCTGTTTTATTCTGTGGCTATAGCTCATATTCGTATTGATCATAATTTCTTATTAGATGGTATGTTGAGAGCATTTCTCTGCAGATATCCACCTCATATTATTATATAGTTCGAAATCATGGAGCAGGGTATCATCATGATTACCTCAATGACTTGCATTCCCATTACTCAGTTGATTTATGATAACGATCATAAAATCTTATGAACATTTCCGTTTCGCTGAAGCATCGAATATTTCACTGCTAACGTTGTTATAGGCTGATGTTGAACATGATTCTTTCAATAGAACTTAACGACCGTCATAACTATTTTTGACCACTGAATAATTCTTTTGGTGAAAGAATTAAACAAATAACATTTTGCAGCAAGGCATTTAAATGAGCCGTATGTAGCCACAAACGGCAGTACGCCAACGGGTGGTCCATCGCTGAGGTCGAGATATGTGACATCGTTGTATTTCACACTATCGACCATCACTTCTATTGGTTTTGGTAACGTTTCTGCCACGACTGATCTCGAGAAAATTTTTACTATTATTATGATGATTCTTGGATGTGAGTGATTTGCATTTCATTTGTTGTTCGTACGTCATTTGTAGATGCATCAAGCGAAATTTCACATGAATTTTTGATCGAGGATTGAAAGAAACAGTTCATGAATTGAAGCAATCAACGGTTCTGATATTGCTACGGTTATTGAGCGTTTGGGATCATCTATCAGAGGCTGACAAAAATATGCGAAAAGTATTCATCAACTGATTGCATTCATAATAAAGGAAGGGAATACGAGAGAATTTTTAGCGTTGATGTATGCATCTGTGTTTGGTAATGTGTCAGCAATAATTCAACGATTGTACAGCGGTACGGCCAGGTACCACACGGAAATGTCACGATTGCGTGAATTTATTCGCTTTCATCAAATACCGAATCCTTTGAGACAACGACTCGAGGAGTATTTCCAGCATGCTTGGTCATACACTAATGGCATCGACATGAATCTTGCAAGTTTCTCGTCCGCTTCATTACTTATAAGTATTGATAGCCCTATCATTAATCGCTCTAGTATCAGTGCGGTTATCATTGAAAGATATTGTTATTTCCATTTGGCAATCGTTATTTTTCAATTAGATTGTATGAAATCCATGCTGAACGTGCGATTCAGAGCGTTGCATTTTTATGAGATACAGCTGTCGATGATCCACGTTGATTGGTAAATGTTTTGTGAACGAGGCGTGTTGAGCATTTATTACATTACATTATTTTATTACCATTGTATTATGATGTTTTGCAGGTACTAAAAGGATTTCCTGACTGCCTTCAGGCTGATATTTGTCTTCACCTTAACCGCAATTTGCTCAATAATTGTCCTGCATTTGCTAGCTCAACGCCTGGATGCCTACGTGCGCTTAGTATGAGGTATTTTTATGAACAATATGATAGGATTTGTATGAACTGGCCATTTGCGCGTATGGGGATCGGCTCTGTGTATGCGCATCTTCCGGCACAACACACCGCATTGAGCATGGTCGTATCACGTGACGTGAACACGTTTAACATGTTTAATGAATTGAAAACGTTTCAAGGTTTCGTACCACTCATGCTCCACCAGGAGATACATTAGTACATCGTGGTGACGTTCTTACCGGCTTACATTTTATTGCGAGGGGATCGGTCGAGATATTAAAGGATGATATGGTGATGGGAATTCTCGGTTTGTGCTTATCTCATCATTCCAGTCTTGATTTGTCAACATCAACATTTCTGTGAATTCATCTAAAAGAATTCAAAAATATACATACGTTTTCATTTTGAATATTTTTTAAGGTAAAGATGACATATTTGGTGAGAATCCACTGTTGTATGATGACGTCGGTAAATCATCGTGTAATGTTCGCGCACTCACCTATTGTGATTTACACAAGATATTACGTGATGATCTACTGGATGTGCTCGATATGTATCCTGAATTCGCTGAAAATTTTTGTAAAAATCTTGTGATCACCTATAACCTCAGAGATGTTCGTTCGTTTTCGCTGTCTTTGGTTTCGAACTCTTGTTCATTCAACGGACTGCATCATTAAGCTTTCGGCTAACTTATTGCAACCTTGAGACAGCGGATCCTCACTGTCCCGTTTCGAGCAGCCTTTTCTCATTTTCTCCTTGAATTGAAATTTTATTTTCGTACAAGATCATTCCACAAAAGGCTGTATGTTAACGTGCAAGTATCCTTAGCCAGAAGCCTGCCTGTTCATTAAGCTAGGCTTTCTGCATTGTTTACGAGAGTATACATGCACTATTCCGATCATATTTCCTCAATCGCAATTCCGAGTCACTTTGAGGTAACAAAGGAAAAGCGCAATTAAGTAGAACACCGTTTTGTTCTAATGATGATTGTTTCAAATTGAACGCATCGACAAATTGCGATTGTTTGCAGGAATCACAGTCCACTCGGAAACGTTTCGATAGACATAAACTGTTACGTATGTCTTCATCAGTAAACAAGGACAAGTTACAATCATCGCAAAGCGAACGTTCGTCTTTTCATTTTCATCAGTATTCGTTGTCAGTTCTGGTGTCATTCATATCTTCAAACGATCTACGATTATTTCCCGTCTAGTCGTGGCATCATTGTTGGGAAATCAATCGAATATTGTTTTTAGCTTGTAAGATCGATCCTTATATTGCAGTTGAGAGGAGAAACGATTTCGCTACGCGTGCTGAACCAACCGGTACATTAGCAAACTTTATTTCTCCAATTTTTCATTATTTGAAGTGTTGATAATTCTTTTTTCAAATCTCCGATCAAAAATATTACTTCTCAGCGCGAATGACTATGGGAACGAATGATTATTCTCAACTCACCGCTAAAGTGAGCGTTGAAAGAGTATAGAACTTTTGTTGATAATCTATTAAGATGTTTGACATCAATGACTTGATGAACGAATTCATCCTGATCGTACTTTCATACTAGTATTGTTACGTCTTAATATATCACATTGCTGTCATTTTAGGTAAACTTATCACATATCGATTCCTTTCACAATTCATTAGAAATAAGCAATTATTGATGTATATTCACAAGCCTATATTCATATTGAATATTTCTCATGTCAGGAGAAACTTCGTTGGTGGGTCGACACGTGCGTTATTCAGAAAATGCTCCATTGTTAAGGCGGGAGGGAAATAACGAGGAAGAATTTTATCAGAATCCGCTGTTATTGAGACATCGTACGTTATTGGTTTGCTTCAGCGTTTTTCAAGATATTCTTAATCCAGTGAACTCTTTTTATTCCACCATTTAAGCTTATTATTCAACTTATTGATTCTTCACAAGCAATCTGTATTTTGCCGTTATGCACAAGTTTTTCAGCGAGTAGAAAAGATGAAGATGAGAAATATGAGATATTGGAAAGGAGGCTGGGCGATATTGAAAGGTACGTTGATGAGTGCTCTCTGTAAGATGTTTTTCTCGTAACAGAACTGAGTGTATTTCACATGGTGCCTTATAAAAGTGAATTGTCTACTAATATTGCTAAAGTGATTTTCATTGGTAACCTTCCAGACGAGTACTGACTCAGTCTCAATTGAATTTGGATTTCAGTCACTTGGAAAAGATGGAAAATAAGATCAACAGTAATTTGGAGCATATTCTAAGGGTGTTACTCGCTAACGGTGCACAAGTAAACCCGTCAAACCGGTCAGTCAACGCCATACACGATACCTCTAATAGGATGACGACCTTATCGTCTCTTAATGCCTCAGGAACTCAACATTTTAGGGTAACATCTTGACATACAGTTTTGATATTAATGCACTTTTTGTCATGCCGACTGCTTTCTTTGAATGTATGCAATTTTTTGTGTCTAATCTAGATGAACCAAGCTTTCTAATGCGACGAGGACTTAGCCACATTCATCTGCATCGTCAGTTATCAAAAGTTTCAGTTAGCAAACGGTGATGAGGATTTGATGGAAATCACGAAATTGCCTGATGCATCTTCCCCTCAATTCCAAACAATAAATACACCAGCCTCAGTACCGAGCGTAAGTGGTCGAGTGAGCAGTGCGACTAAGAAGACGAGTACATCAGGAAACAGCGGCTTGGGCTCAATGCCGGTGTCATCAGCAGCCACGATAGCATCCTCATCGCAATCCTCAACAACTCCTTCGCAACACTATCATCCTCCCTCGACCGCAAAACAACATTCTACGAAAACTTCTTCACATTTACGTTCAGCGTTTATCTCCACTACGCCTCCTACAAGTGGTCCGACATCGGCTGTTAGTAGTGTCCCAACCACAGGTCCTCCTCATCATGTTCCTCCTCATACTTCATCAAGCACTAAGACTTCAACTTCAACTCCTCATGCTCACTCTTCTTCAGCACAACTTTCAATGACACCAGCTGTTGCTGATCTTTCTCCAGACGATACAGATACTTTGTTATAGCACACATATGAATATTGTTTTGTTTCGTTTTATTTCGATTCATTCGGTTTTATCGAGTCGATTTTATTACGTTTCTATTGATTGCATTCGATTGGATCCTAATTCACTTTTCAATTGTATAAGTTGGATTCAGTTTACATGCTTCATTCATCATCCCTACTCACAATGATGAGCAACACATTAGATCAATTGTATGTGCGATTCATTCGGGAGTATCGATTGATTACGCAGGATTTTCACTTGTTTTGGGGATCATTCTTCTTTTCAGAAATGGAATCCGCCTTGAAACTTTCACAGTTCCATCAGACATTTGTCTTCCGCTATATGATAGCGTTTGAGTGTGTATTACGGTTCTGAACTATTTCGAGTTAACGAGTATACAAAGAATTGTTTGATGCTCCAAGTGCGCCGTCAATTGCAACAGATTTTATTAATACTGTTCAATTTTTTTTGTTTTATTCGAAATTCCCATCCAAAGTGAGCAGCTATGAACTATTAATTGATCGATTCGTTGCCATGATTTAGGCAGTATGAAACTGATGAAGTGCTCATGTTATTCAGAGTCCTCTGATTTCATCTAGAGCCAGTACCCATTGTTCCTTCATGCAAGGCATTCATTCTTTCCGACAGTTCTACTGGAATTAACTCCTTCATTAGTTATTCCCCACAGATTGGTCACATCAGAGAGGGTTCGTGTGAAGGAAAGAAATGATTCCAACAATCCTATTCCCGGAAGTTTAGTTAATAGTGCTGTGATTCATTCGACAATGCAGTGATCTTCATTAACCAAACCTGATAAGCTTGCTTAAGTCAATCAGCAGTTATAATCTGTGATGATGTCGAAGTATGAATGAGTAGCTCAAATTATCCTCCCATTGTCATATGAATTGAATTCGATTGTTTAATCTATTTCTAAGTAATGGGATCAGTCATGCGTTGCGTTTATGTAACGGCGATATTCATCATTAAAATAGAGTCGAATGCTTCACAAAGTTACTCATCTTGAGGAGGGACTTTCGTGGCCTGACATGAATTTGTCAGCAAAATACTTACGAGCTGAATGTTTTTGTTGCGAAGCAGAAGAAATCGTCCTCAGCGCTTTTTTATATCTCGTAATTTTAACTCTAGTTGAAATAGCGAAATTCTTCCGGACTGCAACCAGGCGATTTCATCAGATTCGTATTCGACCAAACCATTTTGTCATTGATTCTTCAGAATAATCGTTTCATGAAGAACTGCTTTCAAACATGAAGAGAATGCACCATCAAGTATATCAGTTTCTTTCTGTGCTCGACCAAACGTGAAGATCTATTCAACTAATACTTGTTATCGAATGTAGTATTCCTACTGATGTTTTTCATTGTTTTATTTCATTTCATTCGGTTTCTGTGTTTTGCATATTTTCACTATGACTAATTCAGATGCCCGATGTGGTTGCAGAACGGTGCCGTTGTTTTTTTTTCTTTTTTGAAGTATTAATTTAAATTTTAATTAATTGTAAATTGAAATGATTTTTGATTCTTGATTGATTGTTTGTCTTGTTGATGTTTCCTCATTTTGAAATGATTAGTGCTTCCTTCGTTCCAATCTTGCCAAAGTAATTGTGGTATGATCTCGGCCAGTAATATTTAATGAATTACGTCGTCGATTGGTTCATTTATCTCACCGATAACACCTGATAATTTAGTTCATTCGTTTGTGTAATATATGTTCTTAATGAGTGTGCGGGTGGCCGTTACAATAATATAAAGCTACTGCAAGATTGCATACTGTTGCACGGATGACACCGTATCACTGTGTGAGCTTCAGTTGACTGGATGCATTCGCAAAAATTGGTTAGCGTTTTCTATTGTTGTTCATTATGCGTTCGGGTGAATTCGCTTATTGCGGTGTACTTAGGCTGTAAGAACTTCAAGTATCACCCCATATTCGACAGATATATCTGATGAAAACAGTGAGGGTTTACGATGATATTGAAATGGTCCATTCAAGAATGAGTGCATGAATATATATCAGGTTGAATTTGTTCTGTGGCAATATTCGTTGATACAGCTGGACAGTTGTTCATTTTGTGCAACAATGCATGAGAGAGAGTTTATTAAGCTAGAAGTTATCCGTGATATCGTCAAATTGAAATCAAGCAATACGAAATCTCAGCGTTAGATTTTTATCAGAGGAATGACCAAGAATTAGCGTTGGAATGTCCGTTCAGGTTCATGGGGAATATAATTGAATTTATGGTTACTAGGATGATATTAATTATGATTCATCGTTCAGTTATTTACTTCTGCTATCGATTTTGCTATTTTAAATATTTTCATTATGATTGTAATTATAATTGTGATGATAAGAGCAAGGTTCTATCAGCGACATAAATATTTGACTTTGTTAATTACGTCAATAAAGAATGATTGATTATGTCACATTTAATTCGAATGCAATTTGTGGTTAGTATTTATTCAGAAGAACAGCAATAAATCATGTGGTAATATAATCCTAAAAATGATGTAAAAAATAAAATTCAGTAATCTAAATAAAGTCGCAGAATTTGAACACATCTTAAGAATAACAACTGCTAGTGCACATCAACCTTTGATCATATAAAGCGCTCACTCTGAGTGCGTCAGAAACAGTGATTTCGAGCGTGCGATCATAATTTTCTCAAGAAATGCGGGTTTTCTCGTGGCAGAGTCATCAACCATTTTTGTTTATTGCACCGACGATGAGACCATAAGGGAACCCTTGTATGGAATTCGTTAACGCCGTGATATAGAACAGTACTTCTCACGCTTCAGTGCTCCATTACCCCTTTTGATAATCTGGCACGCCCCCGTTACCTCCCCCCCCCAACAAACGGAAAACCGGTCCGGAAATTCCTCATGGCGTGAAGGAAATTAATTTTCTGGAATGAAGCAAGCATTTTTAAAGCTTTTTTATCCATTGCAGACACAGTATGAACGTCGGCAGTCAAAAAACGAAAAGCGATGAAAAAACATTCTTCAGCAGTAAAAAATGAAATCTAATAACAAGTTCAATAATTCATCATGAAGGAAGACACAATAAACATTTGAGGAATTATCTTCGAGATGAACGGGAAAGCAATCATTTCATCAAAGTGATGGTTAATGAATAAGTAAAAATTCATCGAAGGGATGAAAATAAATCCGAGCTATCAAGGGTTTTGAGATGCGACAGGTGCATCAGGTCTGAAATTCCCTTTCTACTTTTCAGTCATTAACATCATAAGAAATGTTGTCGTTCAAGTATTATACCGATTGGAAAAACAGTCATAAGCGATTGAAGACTTAGACATTGTAGAAACTGAAAAACAGATTCAGAAATACTCGACCGTCCCGCACCAAACCAATGATCATTTTGTCATACAAAAGAGCTCAATCAGTTCATACTGCTTATGAGAGAGGATGTCTGAAGAACTTACGAAATATTTGTGACTTCTTCCAACTGATTTTTGCTCAGGCCTAAACGAACTCAGAAATTAGCATAAAGAAGAGTGCTACCATCATATATCTGAGTGATACACCATCATAATGCCGTCTCACCGTAACAAAACAACACCAAATATTAGTTTCTCTCAACCAATCCCAATGTTGACAAGAGACGATGCCAAGCCTACATTTCCTCAGCTAAGAAAAACCGCTCGGCAAAATATATTTTTTTCTGAATGTAGAGATCCAGCTGGATCAACTGATGCAAAAAAATTCATATGTTACTGAGCTAACTTGAGAATAAACTCAACTCGAAGATCTCAGTTTAACCCGGAAATGATTTATTACTGATAGTTTTTGATCCTAGAGAATCTGTTGAATTGGTAACTGTTTGGCTGACAATCGGTATCAGACTGTTCATGTGATCTAACTTACTGCATGCCGCTAATGTATTTGATCAACTTCAGTAGTCATCATTG